GTGACTCGGCGCGAATCATTGACACATGGCTGTCACATTTCCTACGGGCCGCTGTGAGTTTTGATAGTTGTATCGGATACAATCCCGAGGCTGAGGCTGGGTTCGGCCCGTGCCGTTCCGTCTGCCTGTCGGGCGTCCGGTGCTGTGCCGCGGGCAATGCGGGCTCCGCTGTACGGGAAGTGCTCCACGAGCCCTCTGCCGCATGACGAGTGCCTGATCAATGTCACTGTGCATTCCGTAATCAAGCGCTGTGCTGCTCGTGCCCTTTGCTGGAAGGAGGCGCCCCACCGCGCGGCAGCGTCCTCTACAAGCGGCTTCGGTTTGGTGTGGGCGTGTGGTATGCCATCGCGGAGACAGGGTGCATAAGTGTAACTTTATGTCTCTTTGTGGGTGCTCAAGCACCCCCAATCCTGAGCTCAGCACCCCCTGAAAACCCCCTGAAAAAAAAAAGATGAAACGCGAGCCCCGATGGATGACGAACATTGAAACGTCAACACGTGGGTGAGATGTTATTTATTGTTGGCTCATCTAGGGTCAGAACGTGTGTGTGGTTCGTAGGTTACCGCCCCTGAGACGGACTTTTAGCTTAGTTTGAAGCCCTCCGTAGTCCGATCATACCGCCGAGTCGGTTGTATTGTTATGTTTTAGAGTCAGTTGCCACCTCTGTTCTTTAGTTCGAATTATCGGTGCTTCGCCGCGCAGAAAATAATTGCTATACTTGCTCCGAATAGTTGACACATTGTCTTTGTTATGTTGACATGTGTGGGGACCATAGGCGTCGCCAGACATTTTCGGTTGGGGGGGCAAAACAAGGTTTTGTGTTAAATCTTGCCTTTCCCCAGCCGTTACTCACTCGTTTTACATATCATTCGACGCGCAATGGTGCGAGGAATCCGATGGTGACAAAGTTTTCCTTCTAGCTATAGCATGTATTTTTTACAAAAAAAAAAATCAAAATTTTGACATTTCTGGACAAAAACGACCGTTAGAATTACAGTGGCTGCGATTGCCGACGCACTGCAGAGGGCCCATGAGCAGACTCTCGTCGCTCATGATCATTACCCAGAAGAAGGTGAGAAACGCTCCATTTGAATCGGATCACCTCGCTAAAACCTCCATTCACGCATGCATGCCGAGGTTTTACGTGAAATGCATAGGGTTTATCCCAGCCGCCGATTGTAGCTAAGAATTGGGCATTCGGCGGAGACTGAGAGAGAATGTCGGAAGTGTGAATCGGAAGTACATCATTCATCCTTGCTGCAGTGAGAAGAAGTGTTTTGTTCACTCGAGTGTGAACAAAAAGTTTCTGGTTTTTCGAGTGAAGGGAAGCGCTGCAAACGCGACCAAAAATATTTAACGGAACCAAAAGTTACGCACGGCATAGCGGCAAGGGATCCCTTAGAGATAGGATTGCGACTTCCAGGCCATTTCAGGCCACTCAGGGTCAGTGTGGACTCTCAGAAGCCTGCTTAGGATCCCGGAGATCGGCGTGGGTCACCCCAAACATTTACGTGTATGTGGTGCTTTAGGGCTTTCCGAGCCCAAGGTGGGCCCGGAAAGCCCTTTAGGGCACACGAGCTTTCAGAAGCCAGTGTGGGCGGCGGGCGCTAAGAGACTAGGCCCAGGGTGAGCCTGGAGCCCTCGAATAACAGTGTGAACCGTCGGGGTCTGTGTCGAATCCTTAAGGACCCTACGTTGGTAGGGACATAAGAAACATGTGTTGCGGCCCTCAGAGGGACACGTGAGTTGTGACCCCTCAGATGCCGGTTTGGGGTTAGTAAAGTCTGTCGCCTCAAAAGTTCGGCTGAACTATCATAGGCCAGTTGAGGTTTTCAGAAAGTTTCGAAGGCATCCTCAAAGATTCGTGTGGCCCTTCAGAGGTCTACGTATGTATAATGTCCTCAAAGATCCCTGTATGGGCCCTCTAGAGAACATGGACACCAGTGGGACTCTCAGAGGCCGGTTTGGGCCCTCCGAAAGCTTCTTAGAGCTCAGTGGAGCTCCTTAGGAGCCTGTGTGAAAAGCAGGCTCATGAGCCCTGCGGCACTTGAACGGTACTTGTGCCTGTCGCAGATATTTGACGAGAGTTGAGAAAGGCCCCGAAGATTTCGTGTCACGCTTTGAACGAAAATTATGTGTCAGCACTCCAAAATTTATGAAAATCAGCTACAAAATGTAATACAGAACCAACTAGGAACATGGCATGAATCATGGCATTTACATTTCCGAGTATGGAGTCGGAGTCTTGAAGATTTTGGCGACTGCGTCTGCGACTCTGACTTTGGTTTGAACTGCACGCTCCAACAGAGTCTGACCTCACAGGCATTCTCAGAAAGGTACCCCAATTTTTCCCCGACTCCAAAATCTCATCGGATCTGTATCGAACTCAGGGGGTGCCCGGTCCGAGGTTGGGGGGGCAAGCTGCCCCGCTTGCCCCCCCGTGGCGACGCTAATGGTGGGGACTCGGTTGTGACTGGGTTCAACGTTTATGCATATTGAGCTCCGTCAGGTAGTCCCCACTATGCACATCAGAATGTAGAAGAAGAAATATTGCGGAGTAAAGCATAATGAATTGCATAATTTACATGCAGAGCTTCCAAGCCTCTAGGATATTAAGTGTTAATTGCTGAGCTTCATTGGATAACGCAGTTCAAATACCGTAACCAATTAGCATATCGGTCTAAAACACATTAAGTGCTACTGCCAATGGTTATCTGGCTGGCCTATTACTGTGCATGCTAGATTTTTATAGTTTATTCACACGCCTTACTCAATAGTCACTCACTGGTTGAGTCGAGAGGTGGCAGAATTATAGTGTAAAGCAAGCACGAGAGCTCAGCGTATGATATACTGGCTGTGAACGCCCCAGACACCGAGGTGACTCCGTCACATCAGCCGTCTGGTGCCGCCCGATCCAGATCGCTCTTCCATTACAGCCGCTCTCTCTTCTGATGGAAAACTGTAACGATTTTAGCGGTCGAGTATGTCTGGGTTCAGGCTGGTGGTGTAGTATGTCTTTGTGGTGTAATGGCTATCGTGTTTGTTTTTTCTTCTAAGGAATTCAGGCTGTAGTATACCGAAACGGTTTCGATGCTTAGCAGCTTCCAGCTTCGTGTATTGCCGAGAGAGTTGCCGAATTTCATCGAGCGAAATCGGGATACATAGTATTATTGTTATCACAACGGTTTGCTACAATGTCCTTTGCAGTGTTCTGAAGTCGGCATATTCATCTTGTACCGAACAAACTGCCTGCGAGTGAGAATCATGAACTGTGTTGAGCACCTGATCCGCTCTGTTGTACCCTTGTCGCGTTGCTCGCTATTTGTCTAGCGAGTGTGTATGTGTATACCCATGTCATTGAACGGGTAATTGGCTCTGCACTGGTGATGGTTTCAGTGTCGTTTGCAGGATGTCCGACGCGGACCTGAATGTGCCGGAACACCGGTACCGCTCGTCGTGAAATCAGTCACGTTTCGCTCGTGTTGAGCGATACTGTTGTTCGTTAGTTGTTACCGTGCTGGGTGTTTCTGCCATGCGTGCGGTGCTGGTTATATGCCTAGTTATTTTTACAGATATGTTGAGTGCATGGGCGTAGGAACGGCTGGAACATTGTGGGTGCATGGGTGCAGAAATCCAGCCATGGCCGGTGAAGCGGGGGGGGGGGGGTGGGAGCGACACCCGAGCGAAGGCTCGTTACGAGCTTTGAGGGGGGTGTATGTATACCATGTCGAAAAGTTACCGACCGATAAGTGCATTTGGAATCCCTCGCATGTGTAGGAGGTTCGGATGAGCCCCCCCCCCCCCCATGGTTTTTCGCAAATAACTCGCGCAAAAAGCGGCCGATCGCAACGAAACTTTAAGTACCCTCGATTTGATCAGTTTTACACCTACTCTGAAAATTTCATGACCCTGACCCAAAAGACCTTTGACCTGTGACCTGATTCTTGAGACCATATTCGGCCGGAATCGCGATTTGGCGTATGTCAGCTCACATTATCCGCGCGTTTCCAGTCTTTTTGTGATTGTAGACGTCCAAACATGTGAAATGATGTTCGTCTCATGCATCACGGTGGGTGTGAAGGTCACCTGAAGGTCAGGTCAGGTCATTGACCTTTGATGACCTCGGTTCACTTTTTCGAGCATTACATGTGTCTAGGGTAGTTTTTCGGGCTGATTTCGAATTTAGCATCCATTTGAACGTTTACGAAGTAGTTTTAGTGCCTTCGTAACATGCTACGACGCCGTCAGTGGTAGTTGACACCTGCTATGGATAGCCGGTAGGACGCCTAATGGTTGACCGGACCTGACCTGACCCGATCTGACCTAAATGCATGAAGAAATTGATCTGTCCGTAGATCACCACCAGCCCGGCCGGCCTCACAGCCGACAAAACACACCTTTCAGTTCTCAGCTCTATTCCCCGACTGACCACGCTCACACCCCCCGGCGCGCCCCAGCGCTGCGTAGACGACCCCGCACAGTTATACATATCACTCCTCCACCGTAAGATAAAGGCAGTCCAAATCAGTAAGCAACAAAGGACTAGACATTCCTGAACTAAAACCGGTGGCTGTTGCAAAAAAAAAACGATTGACATCACACAGGGGAAAGACCTGCATGAGCACTATACCACTAGTGCCGTGCAGTTTACGTCTCGAGCAGCCGAAGCGGCACCCTTCGCTCGCGGTGTGAGCGTCTCACACTCACTGAGGGTATGAGCACTATACCACTAGTGCCGTGCAGTTTACGTCTCGAGCAGCCGAAGCGGCACCCTTCGCTCGCGGTGTGAGCGTCTCACACTCACTGAGGGTGAGCTGGGGGATCCAACACCACCGCCACCCTCACGATCAGCACTCGCTCGACCAGAGACGCTCTCAGACAGTGAAGTAGAACAATCCGGAACCGGCAACACCTCCCTTTCCACCGGCGAGCCTTCGGCCGACCGAGCTCGCAGGTGATCCAGATGCCGTCTGAACACACGGCCATCCGGCAGCCTCACATCACACTGACTGCCGGAGACAGATGCCACCACGGCCGGTTGCCAGGGCCTCTGATCCACTGCTGACACATAAACCAGATCACCGGGCGCAAACTGTCGCACTGCAACCGAATGGCGGTTGTTGGCCAGCGTTTGGCGTTCCTGATTGGCTCGGACACGGTCGAGCAGGGCGCGGTCCGGCTGCAGCCGCGCCAGGTGAGTGACCAGCGGGCGCCCATGGAGCAGCTCCGCGGGCGTCACTCCCGTTGCTGAATGGGGTGTCGTCCGGTAATGGAACAGAACGCGGCTCAGACGCGTTTGCAGCGATCCATCAGTCCGCTTCTGAAGCCCCGTTTTGATCACCTTTACGGCGCTTTCTCCTTGGCCGTTCGACTTGGGGTGGAGAGGCGGGGAGAACACCTGCTGCACTCCATTACGCGCTAGAAAATGACGCAAAGCCTCTCCCGTGAACACCGCCGCGTTATCGCTCACCACCACGCGAGGGACACCGTGCTCCGCAAACGCCATCCGCAACCGCTCAATGGTCGCTTCTGCTGTAGCCGACGGTGTCAGGTACGCTGAGATCCACTTCGAGTGAGCGTCCACGATGACCAGGATCATCATCCCATGGACTGGCCCCGCATAGTCCATGTGCAGGCGGTCCCAGGGCGCATCCGGGTACGGCCACGGACTCTCAGACACCGGAGGTGCCCGCGGCCGGCTTAGCTGACAGGCCTGACAGCTCTCGACCGTCGACTCGATAGCTGCGTCCATGCCCGGCCACCAAGCGTGGGCGCGAGCCTTTGCTTTCATGGCCACCACTCCAGGGTGGCCTTCGTGCAGAAGCGAGAGCCACTGCTTCCGAAGGGCCGTGGGCAACACGATTCTATTACCCCACAGGACCACTCCATTTTGAGCACTGAGTTCGAGGCGACGCCGATAGAACGGTTGAAGTTCCTCATCCACTGGCTCCGTCCAACGACCGTTCATCACCGCCTGATATGCGCGCGACAAAACGGGGTCACAGTTCGTGCGTCGACGGATCTGCTCGATGCGGATCATCTGGTCCACCGACTCAAGAAGACAGACAATGTCCCCGGGGTCTAGAACACTAGCAGGGCACACTGCCAGGGGCAGGCGGCTCAGTCCGTCGCTGTGAGCCTGCCGTGCCGAGGGGGCGTACACCAGCTTGTACTGGTACGCTTGCAGCGCGAGTCGCCACCTGGCCACCCTGGGCGATACCATCAGCGGCAGAGGCTTGTCGCTGCTTAGCAGACCCAGGAGAGGTTTGTGGTCCGTCTGCACAGTGAAGTGCCGACCGCACAAGAACTGGTGAAACTTTTTTACTCCAAAGACCACCGCCAGTCCTTCTTTGTCCAGTTGACTGTAGTTGGTTTCTGCTGCTGCCAGGCTCCGCGATGCATACGCCACTGGCCGTTCCATTCCGGAACAGTCCACTTCGGACAGCACTGCCCCGAGCCCGTAGGGGCTGGCATCCACCGACAGCACGAGCGGCAGGGTCCCGTCATAGTGAGCGAGGCAGGGCGCTTGCACCAGCAGCTGTTTGGTGCGAGCGAACGCCGTGTCCTCCGCCCGACCCCAGCGCCACGGCTGACCCGTCTTCAGGAGGCGGTAGAGCGGCGCCGCCACGGAGGCCAGATTGTTCATGAACTTTGAATAATACATGAGCAGGCCGAGATACGCCTTCAGCTGTTTTACGTTCGCCGGTCGCGGTGCCTCCACGATCGCCGTCACTTTGGCTGCTGTGGGGTGGATGCCGTTACAATCCACCCGGTACCCCAGGTACTCAACTTCCTTGGCCATCCACTGACACTTGCTCGGGTTGAGCCGTAGACCAGCGTCTAGCAGACGCCGCAGCACCGCGTCCACATTGCGCCGGTGCTCCGTATCGTTGCGGCCCGTGATGCACACATCATCGAGGAACACGGCCACGTGCGGCAAGCCGGCCAGCAGCTGCTCCATCATGCGCTGGAACGCCGCTGGAGCTGATGCTATTCCATAGACCAGGCGTGTGGCTGCCATCAGGCCTCGGTGAGTGTTGATAACGGTGTAGCGCTGACTTTGTTCATCCAGGGGCACCAGCAGGTACGCTTCCTTGAGATCCAGGCGCGTGAACTTTTGGCCTCCGGCCAACTTTGTAAGCAGCTCGTCGATTCGAGGGAGCGGATACTGCTCCACCCGTGAGGCTTTGTTAACGGTAAGATCATAGCTACCGCACATACGCACCGAACTCTTGTCATTCTTTAGCACTGTGACGACCGGCGCTGCCCACTCCGCTGTCTTAACGGGTCGTAGAATTCCCCGTTCGATCTGTTTGTCCAGCTCCGCATTCACCAGCGGTTGCAGCGCAAGAGGGACTGGCCGAGGCTTGTAAAACTTGGGCGAGACCGACGGATCGATATCCAAACTCACAGTCTGCTTGCAGGTGCCACCGTCGTCCTGGAACAGCGCCCTGTACTGCTGCTGCAGATCCCACAGGGGTGCTGCGATACTGAATATGTCGTTCCACGGTAGCCGCAGCTTGGCCAGCCAGTCCCGGCCGAGAAGTGACGGGCCGTCACCCCGAACCACGAGCAGAGTCAGTGTGGTCTGCTGGCCGCCGCACGAGACGTGTGCAGTCAGCTGACCGCGCACCGGCAGTGCATCTCCAGTGTAAGTGGTTAGCGCCACTTGACCCGGCTCCAGAGGGGTGCTCTTCAGCTCTGAGCGCCACACAGATTCGCTGATGATCGTTCGGCTCGCTCCAGTGTCGACTTCGAACACAAGCGGCCTTCCATTGACATCCACCGTCGTCCTGTAGGCAGGAACCCGGTGTGGAGTATTTGTGGCGTTTACTTGATACATGTCGCCATCCGGCTCCGTGTCGTCTGCCAGTACCGTGTGTACCGCTCGGCAGACGTTCCTGAGATGGCCCACTTTGCCACAGCCGTAGCACGTCGCACGCCTATGGGGACACTCCTCGGCCTGGTGACTGCGCCTGCCACAGCGGCTGCACGGTAAACCACCGGCTGAATCACTTGGCAGGCTGCCAGCACTGGCCGCCGTCTCGGCCGGCCGGCGTGTGCGTGTATGAAATGCGCGGGGTCGTCGCCTCAGCCCTCCCGCGGCTGGCCCCGCGGCAGCGGCAGGCGCGACAGCGGAGACTGCGTGCAGCGGGTCCGGGCCGGTCACTGCTGTGCCTGCCAGCGGGGCTGCCGATGAGGCGATATCCTGCAGGTCAGCGGCTGCTGTCTCCATCGCAGTCGCTATCTTGACAGCCAGTTCGAGCGACAGATTGTCACCTTCCTGCAGTAGCCGCTTCAGCATTCCCGGGTTACTTATCCCACACACGAACCGGTCCCGAAGCTGCTCATTTAGGCGGTCTCCGTAGGCACAGTCTCTGGCAATGCGCCGCAGCTCTGCCAAGAACGCTCCAACTGTTTGTCCGGCTTGCTGCGTGGTACGGTTGAACCGGTACCGTGACACAATTATAGCCGGTCTCGGAGCGAAATGCCGCTGCGCTGCCTCCGCCAACTCTTCGAAAGTTTTCGTGGCTGGCAGATCAGGCGCGAAAATGCTGCGCAGAGTTGAATACACTTTGGGACCACAGACGCTCAGAAACACCGCACGTTTCCTTGTCGCTGACGAGATCGCATTAGCAGCCAAAAACTGCTCAAAACGCTCTAGGTACTCGTTAAAGTCCGAGCCGTCGTCGCCGTACTCACCGACGCTCCCGATAAGGGCCGACGCCATGGTGGTTCCACCACCGGTCACAGGCAAGGCGAGAACGATCTCATCCTCGTCGCCACTTGATCTGTCCGTAGATCACCACCAGCCCGGCCGGCCTCACAGCCGACAAAACACACCTTTCAGTTCTCAGCTCTATTCCCCGACTGACCACGCTCACACCCCCCGGCGCGCCCCAGCGCTGCGTAGACGACCCCGCACAGTTATACATATCAGAAATCATCTGTGATCAAAACTAACATGATATTCGTGATCAGTACCCCGAAAACCCCGAGAACAGCTTCACTTTACGCAGTTCTAGCAGTTCTAGGCAGGTCCCGATTTTCCCGACTTTTGGAACATTGACCTGACCTGGAAGGTCAACCAATGAGTAATGACCTAGGACCTTAAAATTGGGTATCATCGGCTTCCTCTCGTCACGGGCAACACCCTCGTTTTTTTCCGCGAAGCTCTAGCTCTATCACCCCCCCCCTCCCCCTACACATTAGAAGCTGGAAAACGCCGCACACATTCGAGGGTTAATATTGTCAATATTGACCGCAAAAAGTAAAAGCGGCCAACTTAGCCATTTTCGAAGATATATCGGGCTAAAAATTTTGACAGTGGGTCATCGGCTCGGTATGTGTTCAATCACATGCTCCATTTCCTTTTTTCTTCAGCGCAAATGTAAGTTTTGAAGACCATCACAAAAGCAAATGCTTCGAAAGATGGATAGTGGGCAACATATCCTGAATTTGCCGTGCTGCATGGAAAGTAGTGTTGATGAGAAAAGGGGTTTTTGGTTCAGATTATTGTGGGTGCAGAATACATTGTCTGCACCCACTGGAGAAATATTGTGGGTGCAGCTGCACCCTTGCACCCATGGTTCCTACGCTTATGGTTGAGTGTATGAAATACATGTTTTTATCAAGGCCTGTCTGACACGTTTTGAACCTCGAACATATACAATTATGTGCTAAATTAATTTGTGATTCCTGGCTTTGTTGTATTCGTATGCCTCGGGGGTTTATTTCATTTTCGTCGTCCCATGTTTTTCGTGCCTTTCGGATGACGGAGCTTCGCCGCAAACCGCATCGAATCCTTTCGGGGCTTGTAGCCCCCTCCCCCTCCCCCCATTGGCAAACCGTCAAGTCGACCATTAGTTGCAATTATATATTTGCCACATTGACCGACTGACCAGCCTCTATGCACTATCGGAAATATGAGTTCTGCGTGGGAGCTCTGTATGGCCCCTAGCAACTCGCCCCCTGGTTGGGCTGGAGTTTCGTGGAAGCAACGAAGACGCAACAAAATCGATAAATCTCATCTCATTTTAAGGGCTTGGGTCATAAAGTGGCCTTCCAATTAAAGTCAGGTTCGAGGACCGACTACCGAGTCAGTGAAGTCAGATCAAACATCAAGGAATCAAGACGCACACGTAAGGATGGATCATGGCTCGGACTGTAATGCCGGGCGTGTAAAAAACGTCTGTTATATGATACAATATAATATGATTTGCGGCCATCAAAAATCATCATTCATCAAAATTCATCAGATCAGATCAGAATAGTTGAGGCTCATGTAGGATGCATTTCAGACTGATAAAAGTTTATTTTGCTGAGATGTTTGATTTGAAGAGACGTTCCAACACTGTTACAAGACGCATAGGCAATTTTGGAATTGCTCGAAATTTGGTAGGTAACAACTGGGACTGATTTGTGAAATGATTGTGGCGGGTCGTGCAAAGCAGTAAAGTAGTGCTCAATAATATTGCAGCGCTTTAACTGCTTCATTTTGAATCACATGCGCCACAAATTTAGAGATGAAGAAATTGTGGCGGGCATCATCGGTAAGAAATTATCGGTGTTAAATCTTTTCAATACAAACAGAAAGTTTTTAGCATATAGACTATTTTCGATGGTCAAAACTTAAAAATTAAATAATTTCACACATTTGTTCCATTTTACTTAGCTTTGTAGCTTTCTTTTGATAAGATACATTCTCTATCTTCCCCTCCCTTCTGCTAGTTTCCTGTCAACAACCGAAACAGCAGAAACAACGGCGGGGTTCATTGGCGCTATTTTCTACAATTTTTCCTATTTTATGCTTAGTTTCCTTTGATATTTTTGGCTCAATTATTTTCAGGTAAGTACAATTGGCCGAATTAATGACCTGATATTGTGAAATGAATTTGTATCATGTGCTTTGTGACATTCAATAGGTGGATGAAAGCATGGTGCCATATCACGCCGGATTTGGTTGTAAGAAAATGATGCATCAGTATGGGTGAGAAGTTCGAGAAGTTTTGAGAAGCTCAGTCAGGTATCTTTTTATTGTGTTATTGTTTAATTTTATTGTTAGGTTCCTAGGTAAATTTTCATTCAATCCAGGAAGTGGCTGCTTGTTACGTATTGCTGACTGCCTTTGTCACGTGTTGTGTTTTGTGTTGTTCCTGATACGCAAATAAATGTGCAATATAATTAGCTTAAGTGCTATTGAATTATTAGCATTTAAAGGGACCCTCCCACCTTCAAAAAAGTTAATGAATTGGCATGAAAGTGATGTCCCTTGGTTCAGAAAGAGCGAAAACGAATATCTACCAAATTTCACCGAAAAATATTCACTGGTTTTCAAGATATTAGGCTTTTACTTTTGTTTACTTTTTGGGATCTCCCCTGTTACTAGCGACTTTATTTGGAAGCAATAATTTGGCAGCCTTAAAGTGCGGCAGATGTTGCGCGCAAAGTAGCGTATACCACCACGTGTTAACGATGGTTTTAGTCTAAGATTTAAAAATCGTTAGATCTCCGCTGACGTCACAAATTCTAAGGGGGCATTCCAATGCATTAGCCCCTTAGAATCCGAAAACTGCAAGTTTGAAATTCCATATCTTCGAATTAAAGCATTGTTCGATGTTGTGAGTGCCCAAACCGGTATTTGCAGGCCATGGCCACCAATTTGGCTATCTCAACTCAAAACTAATGTTAAGGTGGGAGTGTCCCTTTAACAGTTAAAAGCTTAACTGCCAGCTTTTTCTTATTCCATGCAAAGCCTGGTCTTTCTGCATACTGCACATGAGGGGTATGGGAACTTCAAGGTCACTACCACCTGCGTTTGATTAAGTTGTTAATGATTGTTAATGATCAAGTTGATAATGATTAAGGATTTTTTTTGGATTAGTGAAAAGGAGAACAGCAGGATTACCTGGACAGCACTATGCAAAATGCATTCAACAACTTGACATTGTTAATTAAACACAAACACATCTTTGTGCTCTTTGGTAATTTTTAGCAGCATGCTGGTGTTTCCAGACTTCTCATTGGTGCAATGCATGTGCGAGTGTTTCAGCAACAAGACGCTGCAGCAATCAGTACTGGCAATTCCCATGTATTAGGAAACCAGCAGCATGCTGTTAAAGAACTGACTAATGGAACTCATTTCAACCCCCTGTCAGCTTTCAACATCCAATGACAATATCCAAATGTTGTTTTGTTGGGGGTAGGTACTGCTTTCATGGATTCTGAACATTATCCATATTTTTTCAGGAATAAGTGGAATTAGGACTTGTTGCTGCCATTTTAAGGAATTATTTTAGCGATCAGGTGAGTACTTTTATGCACACAGCCTGCAACATCTGATAAGGGCAATATATCTTTCTCAATTTTATAGAGCCAGGGCCCAGGTGTGCTCTCTGTATCTCCTTTCCAGCCCTCCAGGCTCCCATTTCATCTGAATTCAGATAGGTATGAATAGCCAGATAAGTTTAGAAGTGGTTTTCATTAATTCATTATAAGTTAAAAGTCAAAGGCCTAAATTATTTACCCTAGCTATCTTATCTGATAATTTTCATAAATATGTAGTTGTCTCTGCCTTGGTTTAATTGAAATAACCTTACCTGCCTAAGGTTGATTTGTTGAAGACATCATATCATTGTCCATGTGCTCTTTATTCATATATGATAAAACATGTTTTTTTTTTTTAGAAAGTTGTATCTTATCTTATCACTTATGTGTTCCCTTTGGAATGTGTGTACTCCTTTTACCAAAATTACAAGCTGGGGCAGATATTTTACCATGTTCCTTGTCCCTAGTGAGTAACTTGGGCCTAGATATTCATGTAATTTTTCTATGTATAAGGTGCATTGGTTCCATCTACGAAGAAGGAATATCACAGGTTCATTATGCATCATGTGTACCTATTATCCCATTAATAATGTCTGTGGTAAACTTCAAAATATATAGTGAATTTATAGGAAATTTATAGTGAATTGCTTTGGCATAATTCTTTATCTTAGCAAACCAGGAAAACCAAAGACATGTATGGACAGTTGGAGGCCAATTTCATTACTGAACACGTCTCAGAAGATATTGTCGACAGTTATTGCTGGCAGGTTAAAAAAGTCATGGGAAGATTAATTAACATGGCTCAGAAGGGTTTCATGAAAAATAGATATACCTATTGGAGATTGTATCAGATCTGTATATGATATTCTGTGGGAAACAAAGAGAAAGGAAAACAACAAAAACGTTCTCTTTTTATTTGCTGATTATCGAAAGGCTTTTGATTCCCTGAGCCACGAATTTATCATGGAGACTTTACAGTTCTTTAATTTTGGGGCGGAATGCAGCGGTGGATTGCCACAATGCTCCGGGATGCTTCATCGTGCATATCACAGAATCAGATATCTACCGGCTTCTTTGAAATTGAGAGGGGCTGCAGACAAGGGGACTGCTGCTCGCCCTTGTTATTCATTCTCTGTGCAGAGATTTTGGGTATATTGGTGCGAAATAATCGTCTCATAAAAGGATATATCTTTAATCATCAAGAGATTAAACTGGAACAGTATGCTGATGACAGCACATTCATACTTAATGGGAGCCAGAGTAGTTTCAGGGCTTGCTTGAAAACAATTGCTGAATTTGGAGCGGTTTCAGGGCTGTCCCTAAATCCACAGAAGTCGGAGCTTTTATATTCAGGTCCGGGTGAGCCGCCATCCTTTATCACACAGTCAGAGTTCTCATGTGTGCAGGACAGTTTTCGTTACTTGGGAATCATTTTCACCAAGGACATGCATGAAATGGTAGCAGTCAACTTTAAAAGAAAAGTCGAATCAATAACAAACATGCTCAAGGGCTGGCTCCGACGGCGATTAACTTTATACGGGAAGCGGACGGTTTTAAAGTCACTTGCTTTGTCCGAGCTGACGTACGTCTTGACGGTACTGCCTAATCCTCCAACTGCGATGACTGATGCACTGCAGAAGCAGTTTTTCCGATTTTTGTGGGACAACAAGCCAGACAAAATACGTCGGTCCCATTTGATAACGCATTATGGCATACCATGCGTGGGAACGTATGGTAAAGCTATGAAACTTGCTTGGGTGCGACGCTTTTTGACCGTAAAAAAGATATTGTGGGACCGCAAGTGGAATTGGATAGATTACTAAGTAGCGGTGACCGTTATATGAACAAGTTTGGCTCGAATATGAATCCTTTTTGGAGTGATGTATTTTCTGCATATGATGAATTCAAGCACGAGCTCGTAGTTGAAGCAAGCGATGTTTGGCAGATTCCCATCTTTTTATCTTCCGAAATAGTGATAGGACGGAAGCCCTTTTGGAAACGTAAACTTTTCGACGCTGGATGTAGGTCAATAAATGATATTTACAATTCTCAAGGAGAACTTATGTCTTTTGAGGAATTTAGGAGAACTTATCCTTGGTGTTTGAACGCTTTTGAGACATTGCGATGCTTGGTACAGAGAATTTCCATACCAAGTTTTGAGACATTGCGATGCTTGGTACAGAGAATTTCCATACCAAGTGAATTCGGAGGCAAAAAGCCAATAGGACCGTTCATCCACCCGGCTCTACTGCAAATATTGAACGCCGATTGCAGACAATATTATGATGCCTTACTGAATGTGAGATAAAAGAAAACAGATTCACCATTACCTAGTCAAATTAAATGGAACTCTATTTTGAGTTCTAACATATTTTGGGGGCATATATATTATCGATACAAAAGGTGTTCAAAGAATACAACTTTGATATGGTTCCAGGACAGAATTGTTCACCGAATTTTGACAACAAATACTTTTGCCTCGAAATTCATGGACGTCAGCGACTTATGCACCTTTTGTGGTAGGGAAAGAGAGACGATACAACACCTAATGGTAGCTTGCGAAGAAGTGGGTGCGATGTGGCAATCGGTGAAAGATAAGACGTGACCGATTGAAGATTACGCTGGAATTGAACCCTCAGGAAATCATATTGGGTTTTGATCCAGCTTTGTACGAATGCCCTAGGGAAACCGCAACAGCGATCCAGCGACTCATTTTGATAGGAAAATGGTACCTACATATATAGTTGTAAGGTTAGAAAAGAAAAGCCAAGGTTTGTGAACTTGTTACAAAAAAATGAAAATTCTGACACAAGCTGAATTTATGTACGACCATGACAAGAATGAAAGGGAAATTAGAGTACGAGATATCAATATGGTACTGTGCTGTAACCAAACATGCTAATGTAGTGAGCATCATGTACCCTCAGGTATGTGCGTTGGAAAATGTGGTAGTTGTGTTGTAAAGAAAATGTGTAATAAAAGTGATGGGAAAAAATTATCTTAGCAAATGTAAAATAGTTCCCTACCCCTCATATCAACAAATTTTCTTTAGGCCAAGCATGTTTCTGCTCTGCTTTTTATCCTCTCACTTGTTTTTTTTTTTACGGAGCGAGCGAAGCGAGCGGAGTCTTACGTAGAATAACGGAAATTTCTGAGTATGAGCGGCCGGCCGGCCGGCCGGCCGGCCGGCCGGCCGTGCGGACGCTTTTGCGAGGCTTATATCTCAGCAACCACTTGACCGATTTACATGCGGTAAATTTTGTAGGGTAGCTTCATTCCTTCTACCAAGTATTGGACTATTCCCGATGCATGTGGATGACCCCTTATGCACGTGCCACGTGCAAAACGAAGAGGTGTCAGTTTTGTAATTGTTGCAATATCTCGGTAACTACTTGGCCGATTGCGCCCAAAGTTGGCATGTAGGTAGGCACCCACTAGGCACTGCATATCCATGTGCCAGAGTTGGGGTGCTGCTGCACGTGCGCACGTGCAGGGGTCGATTCCAGATCTCGAGAACGGCTGGACCGATTGCGCTCAAATTTGGTACACAGTTAGGGACCGGTTAGTAGGGTGCCGTGCACAAGTCAGTTGGGACCCATTTTGCACGTGCGCACGTGCAGGGTGCCGCTTCCAGATCTCGAGAACGGCTGGGCCGATTGTGCCCAAATTTGGCACATCGCTAGAGACCGGTTAGTAGGGTGCCGTGCACAAGTCAGTTGGAGGTACCCCCTCGCAATTTCGCACGTGCAAGGCCCACCATCTCGCTCGCTCCGTTAGTCGCCCCAAAAGGCGTTATACTGGTCGTTAGTTTTGTGCTGTTTTATGCTAATGAATTTACACAAGTTGGACGTTCAATTCACACATTGAAATGTTTTTCTTCTTGAATTACACTTCATTTTCCATTCTGTTTAAATGTCACCTGCTGTCTGTGTAGGATAGTTGCACTTTTCCATTTTCGTTGCGTTTCTGTCAGTGTTTGTGTTTTCAGTTTTGGTGGCAGTGATGGTCCAAAGGCTCGCTCAAAAATCGTCGTTAGACCTGTTGTGTGAGGTTGCGCTGGCGCCTGGAGACGCAATAGTCTCCGAACTTGTGGCCAATGACCTCAGGATTGAAAAGGAAAAGGTGAGTTGGTGCTGGTGCTGCAAGCACTGCCTGGCCCTGCTGGTTATAGCGGTGCTTATTGGGAGACATATTTAGCTCTTTGTTGTTGTTTGTTTGCACGTATCTCGCAGGGGTGCATGGTTTCTCTGATTGACGCGTGGCTTATCGCGTTATCATGGATGGAAGATACATGATATATATGCATGAATTAATTAATGGTGTTACCATGGCGCCGCTAGTCCCAATTTCACATTAAATGATTAGAAAATCACGATCATGCAAAACTTGAAACAGCTGCGTGTCAGATCCGCGAATGGATACGGAATTGAACGTTAAAATGGAGAAAAAGGGCAAACGGAACCTAGCGATGAACCTAGAGGCATTTATTTTCATTGGCGTCAGGTCAGCCGAGGGTCAAAGTTGAAGTCAAAGTTAAAACGGGTCAAAGTTAACCCGCGCCCTGGTGGGGTCTGTTTATAACGCGACCTGGTGGGGGGGGGGCTATTTTTTGCCCCCCCTCGTATCTCCGAAATTACTGGACGAATCCGCAAAATTCAAACGGCGTTCGAAAGGCCTGTCAAATTTGTTGAAGGAAACCAAATTTCATTGACCTCAGGGTCACCGATGACGTCACAGGTCAGGTCAAAGATGAAATGTTTCACCGTTCACGGGTCTTCTAGGCAATGCGCTATAACACCGAGGAAAACGCATTTTGTCGAGAACCAGCGATAGGGCGTCAGTTGCCTAGTAGATATGTTGCTATTAGAGGTCACTGACAATACCAGGTCAGGTCACAGGTCAGGTCACCAAGGGTCACAGGTCAGGTCACATGAGCCCAACTTTACTAAGGTTGTGTGATGCATGTTTTATGGCCAATTTTTCATTTCCAACTCAATGGTGCTGGTTATAAGACTATCAGGTACGGCTTAGGTCACTTTCTGGTGAAGTTCAGGTCAAGGTCAGGTCAAGGTCAGGCCAAAAAAGGTCAAATTTTAAAGTTGATAGTTTTGCATAAAATGGGTATTGATTCGATGCAGCTCGTCACGGGGAGTCTAATGGTGGTCTTTGTTTTGCGCTACGGGGTCTAGAATTGCTAAAAATTGAGTTTGAAACTTTGACGTCATCAATTTTGAACAGTTTTTTCGCTATAACTTCGCCAAAAAAAAGAGGTATCAATCTCAAATTTGGTATGTGGATGGAAAGCGGTGAGGACTATGACATATCTTCCGGTTTTTGCAAAATTCAAAAAACTTTTTGGATTTTCGATCATTATATCCAAAAAATTTATTTTTGATTTTTGGGGGTCAAAATCAAAAAAATTCAAAAATCCGAGATAGCAGTTTTGTAGCACTGTCAATTCTACAGTTTTTATGTCTTTATCATTTTTCTGTATTTGCAAAGCTATTGGCCTGACAGCTCTTCCCGCGAAACCCTTTTTTGGGTCGAAAACGGCAGAACATGACATGACGTCACTCTGACGTCATTTCCGGCCAACCTATCATAGCCTTTGGAAACATTTTTGGTCACCATGTGTAAAATTGATGTCCGAGAGGGTACTGAAAGTTTGGTGACGATCGGCGCAGCGGTTCTGGAGATATATCGAAAAGTCTGGAGGGGGGGGGGGGGCAAAAAATAGCCCCCCCCCCCACCAGGTCGCGGGTTAACTTAGTATATAAGGCGCTATAAAACCTATGTCAAATATCTAATGAAAGGCATGCTTGGGTCACGGAATTATACCGTAACCGGGCCGTTGCGTAAAACGGGGATAAACGCAGAATTTCACACAACATGAATGAATGGTTCGATATCGGATATTTACCCGCGTCCCGTAGGGGGAGCTCCCCCCTCTTTCCGTCGATATCTCCTAAAGTACTGCAAATATCGTCTCTTAACTTTCAAGAGCCTTCCGGGCATTAATTTTATACCGTGTGACCAATTTTGTCCATTAGCTACGATAGGCCGGCCACAAATGACGTCACTCTGACGTCATCTTTTGCGATTTTCGACCCGAAAGTTTTTTTTTTTGGAAGAGCTGTCACGCAAACAGTTTTCAAGATAGAGAATGTCTAATCAGAAAAGTAATAGATTTAAGAGGGTAAAAACCGTTTTTTTATTTTTAACAAGTTTGAAATTTGATCCCCAAAAATCAAAAAATATTTTTGATGTAATAATACCCTAAAGATACCAAACATTTTCAAAAGTTTTAAAAAGCGGAATATACATTGTACGCTGTCCATGTCCAATGCATGTACAATGTATGTATGTACTAAACACTTTGACGTGTTAAGCTCAAAATTTCGGATTGACTGGGACGTACGGTGACCTTTCCGGTTCAAAATTAGTCTACTCGACATTCTGGAAATACGATGCCAATAAAATGGACGTCACAAGTTTTGCAGTTGAAGTGATTACAGTAGAACTTTCTTCCTCTGTCGCCTTTTCTATGCCGAACCATTGACATTTGTTTAAATATTAGGGAATGATAGCGAAAGAGTTTGAAATAATTATTCGCTTACCTCTTTCAGTGGCGCCGTAGGTGTGTAAGCTTACGAGTTGTGCAAAAAATCGTCCAAAACTGTTGAAATCGGGAAAATTGAACCTCCGATGACGCCCAGTGACCTCAGTATCGGAAAAAAATACTGAAATCCCTATCTCGTTGTAAGAACTTGGTGCTCTACTGCGTCTTTCTATCAGTTTTTGGAGAAGATTTGAAAGTGTACAAAGTTGTAGTTTGATCCTTCCATGCGTTTTGCTTTGTTTTTCGACAAAGGAGTCGTCAACACTGCCCTTTTTATCGATGGAGAGTCAACATGGGCTGCATTCTTCAGACATTTGTTTAACCCGCGCACCGACGGGGGTCTGCGCCAACTTAGTACCGACGGGGGGGGGGGGGGGGCGGATGACCGCCCCCCCCCTGAGATCTCGAGAACGAAGCAAGATAGCGACAAGCGGTAAACGGCATCGGATACGCACGGACAAGGTCTACAATTTTTACTAAGGTCATTTTCAGGTCAGGTCAAAGATGACGTCACAGGGGTCGAAAAAGTCAAAATGGCGGCGCTAGATATGGAGAGGGTTTTTCTCGAATAACTTTCGAAGTAGTCAAGATAGGAACAAACTAAGGGCATCATCGTGATCCTCTCGTCAATCCGCATCGAATGATATATATGTTGACCTCGAAAGGTCAAGGTCAAAGGTTGACCTCAGGTCACGTGACCTCGAGGTCATCATGTATATCATTCGATGCGTCTTGACGAGCTGAACACAATGAGACCATCCGCGCGGCTGCATCTGGTTCCTGTAATGAGTTATTGGCAAAAAACCTTTGGTGACCTTTGATGACGTCACATGACCTTAGAGCTGCCCAACAGCAAAACAGACCTCAAGGTAGTGAAGGTTGATCGTATGTGAAGTCATGTATGGTATATGGGGCCATTCCGACCCGTTTTAGTGGTAAAAACAGGGAGTTGATTTTCCCCCATTGACTTATAATGGGGAGGTCGCGAAATTGACCTGACCTTAGGTCACCGACATCAAAATTCCGAAATATACAAATTGTAGCTACTAATGACCTAATAACATCCTGCGACTTTCAAAGGCCTCCGACATCTACTGTAGCTCTGGCACGGTGACAAAGTTGCAAAAAAGTGACTTGAGGTTCGGTCATTCAAAGTGACCTGGTGACCTGACCTTAAAAGTTAGGAGGTTCAAACTTGCACACCATGTGTAAAATTGATGAGAGAATAGTCATACCAAATTTCGCGGCGCTACGCGCCGCGGTTTTCCCGCTATCCGCGAAAAACCTCAGGGGGGGGGGGGCGGATATCCGCCCCCCCCCGTCGGTGCGCGGGTTAAACCCTCGTCCGTATAAGGGGGGGGGGGGGATCGAACGGATCCCCTCGGTTTTTCGCAAATAGCTCGCATAAAAAGCGGCCGGTCGCGACGAAACCTTCATTGCCCTCGCGTTCATCAATTTTACACCTACCCTGAAAATTCCATGACCCTGACCCAAATGATCTTTGACATGCGACCTATTTTGCGAGACCATGTTTGGCCGGAATCGCGATTCGGCGTATGTCGGCGCACATTAGCCGTGCGTTTGCAGTTTTTTCGTGGTTTCAAGCGTCCAAAATGTGATATGATGTTGGTCCCATGCATTAGGGTGGGTGTCCACCTGAAGGCTGAAGGTCAGGTCAGATCATTGACCTTTGATGACCCTGGTTCACTTTTCGAGTTTTACATGTTTCTAGGCTAGTTTGTTAGCTGAATTCGAATTTAGTAACCATTGGAACGTTTATGAAGTAGTTTTGGTGCTTTCGTAACATGTTACGAAGCTGTCAGAGGCGGTTGACACCTACTACGGATACCCGGCAGAACCCCTACTGGTTGACCGGACCTGAACTGAACCGACCTGGTCTAAATGCATGAAGACATCTGTGATCAACACTAGCATGATATTCATGATCACCCCGAAAATCCCACAGCAGCCTCGGTTCACGACGTTCTAACAGGTCCCGATTTTCCCGACTTTTGGGTCATTGACCTGACCTGGAAGGTCAACCAGTGACCCAAGAACTTAAAATTTGGTATCATCGGCTTCCTCTGGTCACGGGCAACACGCTCGTTTTTTCGTGAAGCTCTAGCTTGATCAGGGGGCCAAAAGGCAAGGGGGCCGGTCCAAAGCCCCCCCCCCCCTCTTATACGTTCGCGGCTGGCAAAACACCAATACGGGCGAGGGTTAAGGCGCGTGCTGCAGGTTTGAAGTCCGAATGTGCTTTTTTGCCTTTGATCGATACTTATTACGACCCTGGTAGTTTTAAACACTGATGGACATGATGCACTTCCTTGTCGGACTCGCAGGCGGCCAAGCGTTCCGGTAATGGCGTACTGGACCTGGACGAGATTCTCCAGCTCACGCCCAAACAGTTAGTGAAACACTTCACCTACTTTGAGTCCAACGAGCTGAAGCGGACGTTCAAGCACACTTGTCGCCTGGTGCCGTCCGAGTGCCAGTACGAGACCACCAGCTTCGGCAGCGAGGACAAGTCGCTGCGTGAGATCAAACGGCATCTGCAGGAGCACCTGGAACAACTCAAGACAGAGAGCAGTAAGTGACCGCCGAATTTCGGCCTCCAGCATGTCAGCTGTCGTTATAGTCAATTTTGAATAGTTCTTAGGTAAATGAATGAATGTGTGGGTGCGAGTGTCCGGCCGATGAACTTCTCGGGCTATAATTGTGTTTTGCGCCTTACATGCTTACATGTATGATGCTATGCTTTGGGTAACCAGCTTCCTTTTTGCCTCGCCCACACTGACTTGATCAACGTTTTCCGATCCAGCCTCCTTCATCCATGGGCTGGATCCGCTTCCAGTTTGAGCCCTGAGGTCCGACCGGCGGCAAACCGGACGATCCTGTCTTGAATATCGGACCAACTCCCATCGGATCACACTCTCCAAGTGATGAATATGTGCTGGGTTGAGTTTGGTTTTGTCACCATCTTCAGCTGTGACTTTGAAATGGCATTAGGTAAGCGAAAGTCTGAATAAAAAAGTTTGTTTTTAACATAATATTTTGTTTCAACAACTAGCGCTGCATTAATAATATGAAAAACAGTTTAATATATCCCTTGCGTAGCTCAGGTTGGGTGCTGACAGTATTTTGCTGGTTTTGCAGCGGGCCGTATAAAATTCACGGCTGAAACTACTGTGCCTATACCACGGAGGGTTATCGAGTCGCGCCAAGGCAAAAAATCACCGGGCAAGGCCTCTCGTGAAAAGCGGTCTTACATTGCTCACGAGCTTGTTCCCCAAGCACCTGAAGCCCCCGACAATCATGCTGCTAGCCCAGAACGGGCATATGCTCAACGATCGTCGCCGTCGCAGAGGCCGTCGAAACGAACTCCGACAAGGCCCAAGAAGCGCCCGGTGGAGTCGCCGCCGCCGGCACTGGTCAGTCCTCCGGAGCGGTCCCAGTCCCGCCGGAGGCGCACCACCGAACCGCCGCCGGCGGTCCAGCCTCCGGCCGTGTCCCCGGCGCCTCCTCCTCCGGCGCCGCCGTCTCCGCCGCGAGAGCAGCTCCGCGAGCACGACTACGCGCGGGACTCCGCACTGGAGTCCTCCGCTGGCCCCTCGGCGGACTCCACGCCGACACCGCCGGAGCCGTCCGTCAACCCAGCTGAGAGCGAGGCGCCCACGGGTGCTGGCACAGCCAGCACAGCCAGTCAGAATCACTCGGCGGTCCCGTTTGAGTCTGACCTAGCCCTGCTTGGTCTCATGGAGCGGGAAGTGATTGGACCGGGCTCGGACGACGGCCTCGGCGGCGGTGATAGTGCCGAGAGCAGTGACGGCGTGCCGCTGGTGGGCGCCGAACAGGTGATCCGCGGCGGCGTGATGCGCTCCGCGGACCTGCCGGTCATCATGGAGGGCGGCTCGGCGACCGTCAGCGGCCTGCGCCGCTACACCCGCGTGGTGGAGCGCGACGAGTATAAGCAGCACCGGAAGCCCAAGGGGCTGGCCAAGTTCATCAGCCAGTCGGAGGAGGACAAGGAGAAGGCGCGACAGGCGCTGATCGAGATGCGCCTCCGGCCCAGCATGTGCAACAACTACGTGTGTCGCGTGTGCTTCCCGCCGCAGCGCTTCACGGCCCTGTCCTCGCTGCAGTCGCACTACAAGAGCCACCTGGGTACGTAATGCATTGGGTACCATAAGTTTATACTTTATTAATTCCTTCGTACTTTTTATGGGTTAGTTTTTAAACTTTAGATTTGAGCATCTTTATCCTGATCATCCTCATCATATATCCTGATATCTATTATATTCGAGTCATGGCTTTGTTTTGCGTCATGTCTGTGGTCGTTATCCGACTGCAGTTGCATTCCTTAATAATTAATAGCCATAACTCATATGACCCTCGCATTATTTCAGGCATCAAGGACTTCTCCTGTAAGCTCTGCCACAAGTCTTTCACCCGAAAGATGTCGCTCGACTACCACATGCTGATCCACGAGCACAAGACGCGGTTCCGCTGCAGCACTTGTGGCCACGAGTTCCGACACAAGTCGCACTACACCGAGCACCTGCGTCGACACACCGGCGAGACGCCTTACATGTGCTCCGTCTGCAGCCAGGGGTGAGGAGACATACAGACGGCGGTGGGTAGGGGTGGGTAGACGGACAGACAGCGGTGGGTAGGGGTGAGGAGACATACAGACGGCGGTGGGTAGGGGTGAGGAGACGGACAGACAGCGGTGGGTAGGGGTGGTTAGACGGACAGACAGCGGTGGGTAGGGGTGGTTAGACGGACAGACAGCGGTGGGTAGGGGTGGTTAGACGGACAGACAGCGGTGGGTAGGGGTGAGGAGGCGGACAGACGGCGGTGGGTAGGGGTGAGGAGACGGACAGACAGCGGTGGGTAGGGGTGGTTAGACGGACAGACGGTGGTGGGAAGGGGTGGTTAGACGGACAGACAGCGGTGGGTAGGGGTGGTTAGACGGACAGACGGCGGTGGGTAGGGGTGAGGAGACGGACAGACAGCGGTGGGTAGGGGTGGTTAGACGGACAGACAGTGGTGGGTATAGGGGTGGTTAGACGGACTGTGGGGGCCGGGGAGACACTATGATGATACGCCTATATCCATTTAATTTTTGTCATTACATGAATTTTGTTTTGATTCGGCGATGTTTCACCAGCTATCTACCCGAATGAACGAAGTCTTACCACAATATCAAGAACAATAACTGTGCGAGCTGACTCTCTTTTGTGTGACAGTTTTAAGGCGAAGAACTCGTACCGTCGCCACCTGGAGTCGAAGCACGGCCAGCGTCTGACCAACAGCGGCAACATCGTCATCCTGTCCGATGACGAGCACCGCCGGCTGCTGGAGCGCTCCCACCAGGAGGACCGATCCAGGAGGCCGAGGTAGGTCCGGCAGACCGGCCCGTGCTTAACCTTTATAGAAAGAGGCTGTGCTCGAAGAAGACGGTGTGGTTGAAAGTGGTGGCTTTTAACCCGGCGGCCGCTGGGCCTCCGCGCCACCCGCCGGCCGCTGGGGGGGGGGGCATATAGTTGCCCCCCCCCCTTTACTTCTGCGACGATATCGTCGCAACGCGAAGAGATAGAGAAGCGAAACTTTGCACACATCATTCTGAATACCTAGCCGAGGTTGTGTCCAAATTTGGTGTCGATCCCATTTGAAATGACGTCACAGTGACGTCATAAGTGAAATTATAGATTTGCGACTCTCATATTCCTCACGATACATTAGATATATGGGACCGAATATAAAGTTTTTTTTTTGCACTTTTCCTATATCAACGTAGCAAATAAATGATGTGCTAACAATCCGATGCTTATTTGCTGATGTGTTTGCTGCACCTTGCCACATGCCTTCGATTTTCGTTGCGTTTAGCCTTAGCGAATCACCATCATCCTTGTTTTGTTTTTTTTTGTCGTTTACCACGTTGAGCTCGTGTTCGCCGCCGCCTTGCCTTATGCCAGTCCGACTCAACATTTCTGTTTGTGCCTGTACCGGTGACCTGACGCCGCGCTGTCCGTCCGCCTGCAGGGCCCGGCCTCGTTCGGACGACTCTCAGGCGCCGCCCAGTCCGAGCAAGATGGGCTTCTCGTACGTGGACGTCGTGGTGCGTCAGTCGACGGGCCGTGTGGAGTACATGTGTAACGTGGAGAGCATCGTGCCGCCGCCGGGCCGTGACGTGCTGCAGCAGGTGGTGGACGCCACGGTGGCTGACGGACCGGGGGAGAAGCCGACGCTGGCAGAGCAGCTGCTGGACCCGCTGCCGCCGCTGGAGATCCTGCCGCCGCTGCAGGACTGGGAGAGAGAGCTGACCCCGCTGGATAAGTTCACCCCTGGCGCACCCTCGGTCGCCAATGATCGCATGCAAAGGCCGCGAGTCAATCTGACCAGCTCTCTTGGCAAGTACAACGTGTTCTACTCGTCGGGCAATGTGTCCAGCAATGTGCGTGTCGTCCAAAAGTGAGTGGGCGACAGCGCCGTGCGGGGTGGGAGGCACCCCCACCTAGGAAGCGTCCATGTCTGATAGACTACATCAGCTGCGCGTGGTACTGTCGGGGGCAAAGACAATCCCCGTCGAGAAAGCTGAGTTGAAGTTGGAGACGAAACGGGAAACGTGTACATTTTGAGGGTCGTAGAGCTTGATGGTCTGGAGAGATTAGACGAGTATCAAATCATGTAGCCAGTATGCGGTGATTTCGCGTAGCCATTGTGTGTGAGAGTATCGTGTTCTTCATGAAGAGTCTTGCAGTTCTCTTTTGATAATCATTCGTTTTAGGCGTTCTGGCTCGCCTGCGTCGGACCACAAAGCCACCCTTCAGACCCCTCGAATCGACGCGTTGGTTGATGTTTCATAGGCCACTGAATTTTTGGCCAAGATGCGTTATATCGCAATGTGTGCCAAATTACTGGAGTGTTGGCGCTTCTCAGGCTGGCAATATGATGCACAATGGGCATGATGCAGACTCCATCTGCCATTGTAAGGTGTACGATGTGATGGACCTTTAAAACACGAACTTAAGTGTTACCATGGGCTCAATGTGGCTATGCAGTGCATTTCCTTGCAGTGTAACAAACTTTCCTTTTAGTTGTATGGAGCGTCTTCCGATTGTATATTTTATAGTTTTGTAATCATGCATTTCATTGTGTAGCAGCAGTGTGTGACTCGGCGCGAATCATTGACACATGGCTGTCACATTTCCTACGGGCCGCTGTGAGTTTTGATAGTTGTATCGGATACAATCCCGAGGCTGAGGCTGGGTTCGGCCCGTGCCGTTCCGTCTGCCTCGGGCGTCCGGTGCTGTGCCGCGGGTCGTGGGGGCTCCGCTGTACGGGAAGTGCTCCACGAGCCCTCTGCCGCATGACGAGTGCCTGATCAATGTCACTGTGCATTCCGTAATCAAGCGCTGTGCTGCTCGTGCCTTTTGCTGGAAGGAGGCGCCCCCTCCGCGCGGCAGCGTCCTCTCCAAGCGGCTTCGGTTTGGTGCGGGTGTTTGGTATGGCATCGCGGAGCCATCGCGGGTGTCACATTTACGACTGCAATGCTCGTGCATTGTGTGTCACAGAAAACTGCGCTCAATGTGTGAGGGCCGGGTGTGAGCTAGCAGGCCGTTATTTTTGATTGGTGCCGAATGCTCTATGGGGCGGAGCCGCCGAAGAAAGTGCACTGCGTGACAGTTGTATCGACTTCCGTGTCCCTTTGGCCAGCAATGGCGCGCGTGCCTCGGCAATTGAAACCCGTGGAACACATTTCCATTTTCAACGGGCTTCCATAAGCTTAAGTACCTCGGACCTCATTGTCAATGGTAGTTGTTTGTCACTTTGTATCCACTTGTCAATATATTTTGGAAAAAAATGTTAAGCCATTTTCACTGCCTGCCGTTAACCATGAGTCCCATGGTATCCTCTATGTAATCACGAACGAATGGCTAAGCAGTAAGCAGTGGTTACCCGTTGTAAGCCATGTAAGCAAATAGTGAAATGGCAATTTTACTCTGCATTGAAACTTCGCCCACAGCAGCTTGCAGCGAATGAAGGCGCCTAATGTTACCGTTTTGACGTCTGGAGACATCAGTTGCAGATTCATCTGATGTTTATGTCGTTTTAGGCTCCAGATTCTGCGTTGATGTTCGCTTTAGCGTTTGTTTTACGCGAGTCACTTTGTAGAGCCAGGGACCTATTTGTTATTCGACCATTTTCAGAGTTACGTGCACTGTCGCACTTGTCGCAGGGCCCCGCGATGTCTCGGAAGAAGATACGAGCCGTGAAGGATTATGAGCTCCGGAACAAGAATTTCGTAAAACCTTCATGTAGTTTCTGCGCTACCAAATTCTCTAAAGTGGCGCACTGCGCCGTTATTGAACTATGGAAAAAATAACGCCGCCCGGGAGGCGTCCGCGTGTTTTCAGTGGAAGGTGAAGGGGTGGTGAATGTATACGGCCTTGGGTGAATGTGAGTTTTTCCGGTATTTTATGCCACGGCGTCTTTAATTTGATTTTGCATTAAATAAAACCCAAAAATCCCCCATTTGATCGCGCAATGATTTGCATGAGAGCGCTTTGGCTTATGCTTATGTGACGTGGACCATGGCATGTTTGTGCTTGCGTGGTTCCATTGGTTCCCTCCTGCCGATATTTACATTTTATTTTATGTTCCAATACATTCTAGGGAGGCCATTTTATCTTTCTATTCAAAGATTCAGATGTTCATGTTTGGTTCCTGAGTGATGCTTATCGCACATGGGTTTGCTACTCTTGTAGTACCTGACTGTAATTGTGATGTCTGACTGCATCAGCAGGCAGCATATATTTGTTTTATGGTTGTTGTTCAATGTCTTTACATTATTATATATAATGCTCAGTCTCATTTATATTTGCATAAGCATTGAAGTTCAAATGGATTGTATTTTGCAGTTACGTTTTAAGGAACATTTGATTTGATGTCCTTCATGATCTTACTTCCATATTCCATAAGTTAAAGCACAAAAAGACAAAAAGATTCATATCTACTATTTCATTGTTTGAATGCTTTGAGCCTCAGGCAGGTGTCAGTATTCTTTCTCACTTATTGATTTGTCCATAAATGTCTGACAGTTATGAAATCATCCATAAAAGCTTGTGTTACCTATTGCAGGGAGACAATTCCTGGAAAATTTGCAACACAGGTACTTCAAGTATGACTTCCACTGAGGACTTGGGCTCAGCTCTGCAAGAGGAGTTGGAGAAGGCTAAGTCAACTTTGAAAGGAGTTGATGAGAGCTTGCAAAGATTTTTGGGCAGAGATCCCAATGATCCAAGGTAAGATGTTAGCTAGTGAAGCTGGGTGTTGGGTGCATCACTGATCAGCCAAGTGTAATTTGTCTCTACCACTGAACAATGCATGAGTAATGTAGTGTTTGATAACATTAATAGGAAACAGGTCATGCTGACTTATCTGAACCTAAGCCTGGGTGTCAAGGAAGTGAACCTCTGTCAAGTTCATGAATTTGGCAGCAATCCACAGTATGCATATTGTAATCTGCACCAAATCTTGTGCCTTTTTTGATGCTCATCCTCAATCTGGTCCATGATTTTCATGTTGGCAATGACAGCCTCAGGAATAGAGCCAATGTACCTTTTTAGCATTTATTAAAGAATTGGTGTACCCTTATTTTTAATTCACCATAACTGCAGCACTTTTCACCATTTGAAGATTTCATATTTCATGATGTATTTCAGCAACCCAAATATGGCTGGTGCTTAGAGGCTTATAACTTTATTACAGACTAGCAACTACTCTTAGTTTGGACAAAGAACTGTTTCATAGTATTGTATTTTACATTGCTAAGATAATGCTATAGGTTTTTGCATCTTAATCACCATTTCTCTTATCCCTGGTCTATAATGATTCCTATTAGGTACATCATTCTTCTCCACGGTGACGAGCGGCTCGCCCCGCAGACCGGTCCGGCGGCGCATCTCTGGCCCGGGCGGCCGGCCGGCAGACGATTTCGGCGGCCGACACGTGGAGATACGCGGCGACTTCGGCCGGCCATACCCCGACGGGAGGGGCGACTTCGCGGGCCGCGGTCGGCCCCCCTACGGAACAGCCAGGGCAGAGTTTGGGGGCGACAGGCGGCCAGAGCCCGACGGACGCGGCTTCTACGACGCCAGAGGGTGAGTGTGGGTGAATAATGGAATAGCTCTGAATATCTATAAGGTTATAAGGCTAGGATAAAGAAAGGCAATGGAAGACGTCCTGGTTTGTAGCTGCGTACAATATGTTGAAAATATTCGGTGAGGTTGTGACCAAGTGTAGTGTAAGATAAACTGATAGGTAGAAAATTACTTATCCCATCAGTTTCCAAAGACTGTTCAAGTTCCTGTCTTTCTATTTTACATCGAGTGCTTGTTATCAACACTAATCACGCCCTTCGATGCGCCAATTGCCTCGCCTGCCTCTGCCGTGCCGTGCTGAACACACTGTGCGACCCCCGGCAGCCGGCGGAGGGAGCGACATGACGCCGAGCCACGGGACGAGGACGGCGGGCCGGCGGCCAAGCGGCGCATCACACACGGCTCCAACGGAAGGTGAGCGGTCCTGTGAGAGACCGAGAGAACTGTGAAGAGCATGGGGAGCCGTCGGAGTCGCTGTGAGGAGGTAGACTGTCGGAGCCGCCCGGGGGAACTAGAGGAGCGATATTGGAACTATTTGAACACGCTGGGAGGAGGAGAGTCGATCTGTCTTATCTGCGTGAGGCGAGCCATCTGGAGCAGCTACAGGAGCCCTCAGTAGCAGCGGTGGCGCTGGTATCGGGCCTCGGCAGCGGTCGGCATGGTGGGATGCCATATCGGCGTGCCTTTGCTCGTTCGTGGCTATCTTGAGATTTTTTTTAAATAGATCTACGAACCCGTTGCTTTGAAATCTGTGAGTGCTTTGTATCCATTTTCTTTCAAACTGATAAGTTACATAAAATTCATGATTCGTTACTACTGGATTTGAGGTCAGGCTTTGTGCTATTGTCAGTCCCTTGGATACGGTTCACGCCTCCCGTGACTTGGCCCACTCTGCGCGTGCCGGCAGGCTGGGTGTGGTGGTCATCGGTCCCCGTCTGCGCAGGGCCAGTGCCAGCGACGAAGAGCCGGAGCCCAAGGTAACGACCCAAGGCTCAGGAGTTATCGCCTGATATGGTTAATGCCGTTCCCCTGTCCCGGGATGAAGCGGGTGGTGATAGGCCTCAGCAACTGTTCGGCGAAGCCCCTTTGAGAAATGATTAACGCACCCTGGAAGCTGGTGTATTTGTATCCAAATCATTTCTTGTGTGTCTTTCTTGTCATTGCCACTGTGCCTTATATAACCTAATCCTTTGGGCTGAAAATTGGTGTATGGCAGCATGTGGGCTGCGGATTTGCGGATTTGTCACATCTCGGCGTATAGGAGTATTCCCCCAGTATTTTACACTGTCAGATGGCTAATGCACTGCTGTGCTGCGCGGTACGATACCGATCTCGGCGGATCCGGCAATGTCGTCCCTCCGGCCTCCCCCTCCCCTCCCCAGTGTGCCGCTGACACCCCCCCCCCTCCCCCCCAGTGGCCCTCTAACACGCCCTCCCCGTCGTCCCGGTAGCCGTCGGTGGCCTCTCACGTGATCCCCGGTCCGGGCTCTCGCGCCGCGGACCTGGAGCCGCCCGACGATGGTCGCTCCCGACAGACGGCCCTCCAGGAGCGTAAGGGAGACAAGGAGAACATCAACAGGTGCGCTCTTGACGGTGGAGGGAGAGGCGGGCGGCGATGCCTCCGAGCGTATAAAGATTACTTTTCGCTGAACGTGTTGTATTGATATTGTAAGTATTGATATAACGTTGTGGATTCAATTTATCATGATGATTGGGAGGCCGTTATGACCTAGCTGCTATGAGTTCGACGTACGTTTGTGTATTATGGTACATTGCACTGCTATCTTTCACTGTTATCTAAAACAGACCGTTAGCCGGCCGTCAGCCGCCCTGGATGTGTTAAAAAGTTCTTTGAATACTGGCTTTGTGGATCTGGGAGTGAACACCTGAGATTCTGTATTTATTACGAAATGTGGCTGGTATTCGAGTCTTTTTCAGTCGAAGTTCTGCATTCGAATGTTTTTAATCGCTCCTTCATATGTACAGTCACCTCTTGGGCAGGTTATATACATATAGTTAGTTGTAATAATTATACCCAGACCTATCGGCTTTGCGGGATATTCGAGCGACCCGGTGACAGTTTCATATCGACTGCCGCAGGAGCCGCCGGATGTTCGGCGCTCTGTTGGGGACACTGCAGCGGTTCCGTACGGACGAGGTCAAACAGAAGGAAAAGGTACGTCATGAACTGTCTCCAGGGTGTGTGCACTTACAGCACCCGCTGCCATCAGCACGAATTATGGCCTAGCGTTTCGGATGCACCATGTCAATGATGTGACAGTCGGTCACTCGAGCAGCCTGCTAGTCAGCCCTGCTGCTGTCTGATCTGGCTGCTGTCATGGCGACCGCGACTTAGCGCTGCCTGCTGCGC